TCTGGGGGAGAACCTGGAATTGGGAAATGGTGTTCCTGCACCCCAGGGAGCAGGGCAGGGAGACACCAGCACCCAGAGACACTTAGCCAGACACAGGAGCATGGAGCCCTGCAGGGAACCCTTCCCTGGGTCGTGTCTTATCCCTGCCCTCCTTACAGCTGTTTCCCAACTGCCTCCCAGCCTGGGAAAGATCCAGATAAACTGGAAAATGTGAATCCGTGCAGTTGTGATGATACAACAAAGGGGAAAGTGGAACTGGTTTAAAATAAAAATCAACCTGAGCTGTTCCACCTAAAGAGTCTGTGAAGACTCTGGAGCTTCTCTGAGTGTTTCTGAAGGAGGGAGGACTGAAAAAAACCCTAAATTTAATGTGATTATAAAGCACTGTGTTATCTGGTAAAGTGCCCAGTTCCTGTGGCATCCAACACTCCAAAGGCAATCCTGGAGTTCCTGGATCTTGTGGGGTGAGGCTTGTGGGGATCTCTAAGGTGTCAGAAAGCCCTCGTGCTTTGGAGAGGCAGGAGAGGTGCCTGGAGCTTATCCAGCAGGAATATTGTCCTCCAGCTCCCAGGTGTGCAAACCTTGCCAGGTCCTCAGGTGGGAATGCTTTAGGGAAAGGGACTGGAATTCCTTCAGGAATTGGGCTCTCCCAGGGAGTGCTGGTTCTTGGAAACCATGCAGGAAATGAAGGGATGGGATGTGTCCAGTGGGAATGTCCTACCTGAGTGTCCTGGGAGATCCAGGGCTGATGTTCTCCAGCCTGGGAATGGGCTCTGAGTCAGGAGTGCAGTTCACAGGGATGCAGTTTCCGCCCAGGAGGTGGTTTGTGGGAAAACTGGCAATTCCCAGCAGAGTGAGCTGCTGGATTGGCTGGATCCAGCCACTGCTGCCTTTCCCTGGGCAGGAGCATCTTGGGAATCCCTGCCTTGACCCAGCCTGGGGGGTGTTTGGGGTTGTTTGGTGACCAAAAGCTATTTTGAAGGAGTGGAATTGCAGGATACAGAGAGGAGACTTGGAGTGGGACAACCACAGGCTTTCCAGAACAGCTTGCCCAGAGAAGCTGTGGCTGCCCCATCCCTGCAAGTGTCCAAGACCAGGTTGGATGGGGCTTGGAGCAACCTGGGCTAGTGGAAGGTGTCCCTGTCCATGGCAGGGAGAGGAAAAGATGATCTTCAAGGTCTTTTCCAACCCAGACCATTCTGTGACACTGTAAAATGCAGGAGGCCCAAATTCTGGAGGAATGTTGGGGCACTGAAGGACTTGTCTCACCCCTGGGGTTTGGCTGGCAGGAGTGGCCCTATGGATTGTCCCAGTTTGGCAGGTGTATTTACACTAATTAACCCCTGGAATACGTTGGGGATTAGATCAGTGGATCTGTAAATATTTTGGAGCACTTCAGTTCCCAAAAGGTCAGAAGTGAGATGAGAACCCCACCAGTACTCTGAGATGGACCAATCCCTGTGGGCAGCCCCCAGACCTGGGAATATTCCATGTTTAATCCTTCCAAGCTGGCTCTGGACTTACTCACACACTTTATCCTGTCCCTGGAGTTGTGGGAGAGTTTTCTCTTGCTGCCCGTTCAGTTTTGTGGAGGAGTTAAATGGCTCTGGAGGAGAAAACTGCCACGGTTTGGGGAAGTAGGGAAAAGCTTGGCTCTTCTTGGGATCCAGCTTCCTTTGGGAATGAATTCCTTGTTTTCCTTTCCCTTGCAGTCAGTCACTTTCAAAACAACCAGCAGGAACCTCGCCCGGGCCATGTGCATGAAGAACCTCAAGCTCACCATCGTCATCATCATCGTGTCCATTGTGAGTGTGGAGAACCTGGGAAGTGTGGAGAGACTCTGGAAAACACCAAAACCTGTCCTTGGATCCATGTGTTGCTGCAGGGAGGGGCAGGGGGAGGAGGGTGTTGGCCAAGTTCTTTAGGGGTTTGGTAACTGGAGTTTCCAGGTGTGTGGCAGTTGAGCAGAGGATGGAAATCCTTCATTCTCTACAGAATTCCCGTTTTCCCTCCCCAGGTGATCCTCTACATCATCCTCTCAGCAGTGTGTGGTGGGCTGGCCTGGCCCAGCTGTGTGCAGAAATAACCAGAGCTGCTGCTGGGCCCTTGGAGATGAGTGCCAGGAGTGTGAAGAAGCAACCTACGGAATAACTCACCCGTCACCTCTGCCACCTCTTCATCCCTCCATCCCTCCAGGACTTCAGACTTTTTTGCCTTATCACCCCAGAGGGGCCCAGAAGGAGCTGTGACCTCCAGCGTGGGCTGGGCTGGATTACTTGAAGGGATTTCTTTGTTCCTTTTCCTGTCCCCACAAATGCCTTCCTTCCCTGTGTCCCTGTGGCTTTGCACTCGGATGGGGAACGGGCCTGGCCTGCCTGTGAGGATGGAGCCAGAGGGTGGTTTGGGGTGGGCTGAGCCAAACTAACAGGGCAGGGATGAGATGGTTTGAGTTTCCACAGTTCCTGGAGATGCACATCTGGCCACGTGTGGCTCTCAGTGCTTCAACACGGGAAGGTCACGGCTCTAATCCTGATGGGAACAAAACGAACAGGGCTTTGTGCACTGAGAGGTGGGAAATCTCCCTTTTCCTGGGGAGTTTTCCTGCAGGTAGTGGGGGTCACCTCAGCATTTGGAATGGCTGCCTCTTCATCCTCACTTCTTCCTCACCTCCCCCCTTGGTTCGTGGCTGGGTGGGCACAGTAAAGGAGGCGGCTGCTCGTGGTTCCGGCTGCAGTCACGGATCTGCTTTCTCCCAGGTTATTTCTCCTGCTGTTCTTTGGAGGGTGGATTGGAATGAGTACAATGCTGGCACTGGCTTGGGTGAATTTGGGGGCCAGTCTGTTGCTCTGGCTTGATCAGGTGTCAGGGAGCTGCTGCTTGTGCTTCTCCTCCTGTGAGTGCCAAAACCACAGGACAGAGAAGGGCTGGAGGTGCTGCCTGGGGACTCGGAGGGCTGAGGGAGAAAGGCTCTGCCAGAGGCAGGAATGGGCTCCTCTGGGAAGAGTTCAAACCAAACCCAAGGCTGAGAACCAAAAGCAGGCTCAGCTGGGCTGTTCCTGTCCCAGCTGCTCCCCTGAAGCACCAGCCAGGCCTGGCTCCTGGGGGAGTGGTGTCCACACTTGTGTCCTGGAGCTGATGGGCTCCTGTCCCAGAGAAGAACCAGAAACACCCTTCACGTGGGCTCCAAAGGAATCTGCTTCCTTCATCCCAGGGAAGTGGGGTGGGGTGGTGGTACAGGAAGGGGTGGCTTCACTTGGGGACTGAGCTGGAGCACGTGGTCGGTGCTGTGGGGTCCTGGTGACACAGGGAGTGGGGTGATGTGACACTGCTGCTCCTTCACTGTCACACCCACCCTGGAGCTTCCCAGCAGCTCCCACAGAAAGAGTTCTCTAAACTCGCAGCTCCTTTGGATTTGTGTTCTGCTGGGCCCAAACTTCACCAAGGGTGATGGGACTTGGATCCACCCCCCAGTGAGAGAGGCCACTGGCACCTGCTTCTCTCCCTGAAAATGGAATGTAAAGCTTGGAGAAAGCCCCCCCCTCAGCTCCTGCAGCCCCTGTACAGCTGTGCATGTTTAGGGGGCCTGGTGTTAACCCCCTTCATTTCCATGATTTCTTGTCTTATGTACAAACAATTTTTAAAGAAAAAAATCCTTCCTTTCCTTTCAAAGGATGCACTGAGGCATTAGTGTAAAAACAAAAGGTAACTTGACTGATTTCAATAAAATTCCTGTACAGAAAGCAGAGCTCCTTAGTTTTGTGGAAGCCTTTCCACCTACCTCGGGAATGCTGTTAGGGTTTGGAAGCAGGTTCGTGTCTCAGGATGAGGGAGCTGGATTTCCTTTGGAACCTGCAGAAACTGTTTGAGTTGCTGATTATTATCTTGGTTGCATTTTAATGCTATCAGCCAGGGCTCAGGATGCTGGAGAATAATGGAGGCCGAAGGGAGAGCCCTGGGGGTGAGAACAGCTTGGAAAAATGGAATGAGAAAACCTGAATGAACAGCTCCTTAGTGGGATGGGTCTGGGGTTGGTGCTCAGTGTTCCTCTCCTGAAGCTGCTTCCAAGTGTTTGTCAGCACCAGATTTGTATTTAAAATTCATATGAATCCAAGCAGAATCCAAGCTCAGCACCTTTTTGCTTCTCTGGTCAGCTTGGAACTGTGTATCCAGGTCTGGATCTCCACAGCCATCCAGGCTGCAGAGAGACCATCCCACCTGCCTGACAGGCTTTAACTAGAATATCACCTTCAGTCATTAACATTTATCTGGTGGGAAGGATCCATAAAAAATAGCAGCTCTCACCTCAGGTAGTGCCTGGAAAACACCAGTGTGCTCCCACCTTTGGAATATAATAAAGGCAACAAGAGTTGCCTCAAATAGTACAGAAATCAAAGAGAAATGTTGCTGCTCTTTTACCTTTCAGTGCACTGGGAAGGCAAGATCAATGGGAGCAGGTCCCACCAGCTGGAAGACTCAGAAAAGAATGTTTTCCATAAAGGAAGAGCCCAAAGAGGGAAGTGCTGGGAATGTGCTGAGCTCTGTCAGGGTGGGGAGAAGCCTGTTGATGTAAAAGCAGCTGAAGTTTGGAGTCAGAGAAGGAGCAGTTGAGGCTCATGTGCCTCTTCTCTGCCCTGTAAAAGTCCATAAGTGGTGGCACTGTCCCTGTAGGTGATGTGACTGGGTGACACAGGACCACCACCTGTCTGTTCCTCTCTTTTTCCTTGATCACAAGTGATCTCTGCAGTGAGGGGCCCTGGCAGAACTCCCTGGATTTGGTTCTGCTTAGGCCACGTGTGGATGTTTTGGGAATGACACAACCTAAGTTTTCCTTTGCCAGCACGCCCCTTGTCCTTCTGAACTCCAAGGAATTCAAGGGAAATCTCACTCCTTGCATCCTGAGAGACTTGGGGGGAGGCCTGTTTACCCAGGAAGAGCTCTAAGAGAGTCCAACCTGTCAGGAAAAGCCTCTTCCCTGGCCCAAAACTCACTCCAAGTCAGGCTGGCTGTTGGAATAAAGCAGATCTCGTTCAGCACCATAACATTTTATTAAACTACACTATTTCAAGGTCACATTGATGGCAGGGAGAACGTTGCTATCAGTGCATATTTCCTGGACTAAGACTGTGTTTGGAGCATCCAGCACTTGCTGAGGAAAAGGACACTGGAACAGAATCCTTAAGAGACAGTAAAAAACTTCTACAAAAGTCAGGGCAGTTGGGAACCAGCTGAGAGATCAAACACTTCAAGCCAAAGCTGTCAGGGAGGGTTATTTTTTTTTTAAAAAGTTTGCTCTTACCTGGTGGTAACCTCCTCTCAGCTGAGGTAAGGTGGTGCTGGGAACCAGCAGTTTTGAACTGGCATCCCCTGTCCCTGCCTGTTCACACCCCACACAAATATTGTGTACTGCTCCTTCACTCGTGGCCTGTGCTGACACCTGCATACAACAGTTTGAAGTGTTCTACAGTTATAAAAACCTGCTGCAGCTCTAGGCCAAACCATAAAAAGTAGCAGAAATACATTCTATACAGAAGTAAAAAAAAAAACCAACCAAAAAACCAACCAAAAAAAAAAAAAAAAAAATAACAACCCAGTTGAGTTTCAGACAAATATTAGAGCACATCAGGTTGGATTTAAAAAGTCTTAATTCTAACACCTATGTCACTATTTCTAGTCTCCCCGAGCTCTGCCACCCCACAGCACCGGCTCAGAGCTGCTTCCCGGCACAGAGAGGACCCTCCCAGCCTTCCCAGCCCCCTCAGGAGCAGGGTCACAGCCCAGCTTGGGGGTGACAGACCTTCCCAAGGGCTGCAGGCAGGGGGGCAGATGAAATAAGGCCATTTGCAGTCTTCCTGGGAAGACTCGTGGTGGGTGGAAGCCGGTCCCGCCGCGGTGAGGTCGGGCTCTTGGTAGAGCAGCAGGTGGAGCTGCTTCCCAGGAATCTGAGGAATATGTACATGAGTCTGCAGGGAGAGGGGGGCTGGAGGCTCCTTGCCCAGGGAGGTGATGCCCAGCCAGCTGGGGCTCTGCTCCACGGAGGTGTTGGGGGGGGTCAGTAGCACCCATCCTTCCAGGAGTCGTCCTCGGGGGCCGGGGGGGTCTGTGCCGACTGAAGGAACCTGGGTTGGGACAAAAAACCACCTCAAGCAAAGCCCCAGTGAGCTGTGATGGCCACAGGTTGGAGGATTTACCACCATCAGCATCTCCCTGCCCCCGGGGGAACTGCTGCTGGCACAGCCTGGGCACCAGCAGCACCAGTTCCAGGCAGTTTAGGGGAATTCAGTGACTGACAGTGATCCTGCCAAGTTACCAACACCTTTCACTGGGGGGTTATCCCATCACTGAGCCCAAGAGAAAGAAGTTTTCCCTGCAAATAAAGCTGAACACATGAAAAATAATCAGGTTTGCAGACTGTTGCTACAAATTATGAGATTAAAAGCTCTCTTTTTAATGTGTGTTTAAAGAAAGTAGACATATTTCAATTTAAGGCTGCAAGGACATAAAACAAGCAACCCTGTTTGCTTATTAGTCTGATATCAGCCACATCATAATAGTAAGTCTGAATCTACCTAAAACTCTGCTGTACAATTGTAGCTGCAAAAAACAGCAACAAGAACAAAAATTGTAAGGTTTTGGCCACCACTCTACGTGCTCTGCTTTCACCCTGTGGTATAAATCATGTTTAAATCAAGCCTTGTTCATTTGTCTGACTTTTCAAACCCTTCTAAAACCTGATTAGGCTTTGGACAACCTACAGACCTGGCTAAAGACTAAGGAAATCAAAAAACCACCACATGTATTTTACCAGAGGCAAAGTTTCAGAGGCACCAAAGTAGGTCAGCTGGGAAGATTTCCTTAACAGTCCTTTGGAAGGGTTTTTCCCCTTCCCAAAAATAAAAGTATGCACCAAATATGTGCCAGAATGTTCATCTTCATTTTTAACACAAATAAGTTTGAGCTTCTTCATTTTCCTGGCAACCACCTCTGTTTAAAAAAAGAATTTATTTTTTAAAATGGATTTGATGTTGACAGGTTTGCTCATAGATTACGTGGTAAAAAGGGGCATCTCTCACCAAGAGATGAGTCCCAGCCTGGCAGTTCACACAAAATTTAATGGCAGAGGTATTTAAGGGACTGAGACCCTTTGCTTCTTGATTCACTGGCCAAGAATCTTCCAAGCTGAGCCCTTTCCTGTCTTTGAGGGTCTCCAGCCACAATCCTACACTGGAACAAGACTTCCCAGGGTGGACTCTCAGTGGTGGAGTCCCCATCCCTGGAAGTGCTCAAAAAACGTGTGGATGTGGCACTTGAGGACATGGTTTAGTGGTGAACAAGGTGCTGGGGATGGGTTGACCTTGATGATCTTAAAGGTCTTTCCCAACCTTAACAATTCTGTGATTTTATGATTCCATCTAAAGGTATTCAGTAGCTCAGATCCAGCTCCATACCCACAGCCCACTTCAGAAATGCAGATGGAAGTGACTTAAGGAATTCTTCCCTGGGAGGGTGGTGAGGCCCTGGCACAGGTTGCCCAGAGAAGCTGTGGCTGCTCCTGAATCCCTGGAAGTGTCCAAGGTCAGGTTGGACAGGGCTTGGAGCAACCTGGGCTAGTGGAAGGTGCCCCTGCCATGGGCTGGATGGGCTTTAATGTCCCTTCTAACCCAAACCAGTCTGGGAGTCTGTGGCTCTTGACTCACCTTTGTGCTCTATCCCTGAGAGCTGCCAACCCCTCCTGGCCCTGCTGAGGGACTCTTTGGATCCGTGGTGTTTTCTGAGGGGCTGAGGGACGCAGCCTTTTCCTCCCTTCCCTCCTCATTTGGAGCCTTTCCACACCAGACCCACCTGCTATCTCCCGAGTGAGTTTTTCTTTCAGGAAGGTTTGCTCTTGGCTACTTCCAGCCCAACCCAACCCACCCCGTGATTTATAAAGAAGTTTTCCTAATCTGTGAACTAAAGGCAGGCGCTGGAACCCACGAGGTTTGAAGCTCCCCCTCACCTCCTGGACGGCGGCGGCGCCTTTCCCTTGGGCACCGCGATCCCTCCGACGGCCGGCCGCGCCTTCAGGGCGGAATTTTTGGCCGCGGTGACCATGGTGGTGGTTCTGGAAGTGCAACTAGTGCTGGGAGAGCCCGTGTGAAGCGAAGGGGCCTGTGGCTTCCTGACTGCAGAGCCGGGAGCTGTGTAGCCGCAGGGTTTCACCGCCTGCCTGGTGGCCAGCAGGGAGTTGGTGCCCGAGCCGGCCTTCCCGGGCTGTCGCACCGTCAGCGGGGACTGCCCCGCACCCGAGGAATACCTGAGCTTGCTGGGAGTCAGACCTGCCCGGGGAACACAGCAGGAAAAACACTTCAGGTGGGTTCAAGAGGGAAAAGGGCACTAAAGTGGATGTGGGAGATGTGGCACTGACCTGCTGACCGCTGCTGAGTCCTGGGAATTCGGCTGCTGGGCACCTGCAGGTCGGACTCCAGGCTCCGACTGCTCCTCACGGAGTCGAGCGCGCGCAGGCTGCTCCTGGCCAGGTTGGGCATGCTGTGCCTCAGCTCCTCTGCAAGCAAAGCACAGCCTGTTTGCTGCTGCTGCCGCCCAGGGAGCTCACCGTGGTTTAGGCTGGCTCTTGAAAAACGCTCTCAGAAGTAGAGGAGTCTTGTGTCTAGTTCTCAGCTTCCAGGTCACCAAATTTTGAAATCGTGCGGCCATCGAGGTTGACCACAATCACCCCTAAGCTGTGTCCCCAAGTGCCACATCCAGACACCTCCTGAACACTCTCAGAGATGGTGCCTCCCTGGACAACTCACTCCAAGGCCTGACCCCTCTGACAGTGAAATAATTACTTCTAATACCTAATTTGAACCTCCCCTGGTGCAACTTGAGGCTGTTTCCTCTTGTCCTTTCACCTGGGACAAGGCACAAGAGCCTGACCCCCCCCCGGCTCCACCCTCCTGTCAGGGAGTCATAGAGAGTGAGAAGGTCCCCCCTGAGCCTCCTCCTCTCCAGACTGAGCCCCCCCAGCTCCCTCAGCTGCTCCTCATCAGACCTGTGCTCCAGACCCTTCTCCAGCTCCATTCCCTTCTCTGGACAAACTCCAGCGCCTCAAAGTCCTTTTTGTCGTGAGGGGGCCCACTGAACACAGGACTCAAGGTGTGGCCTCACCAGTGCCCAACACAGGGACAATCCCTGCCCTGGTCCTGCTGCCACACTATTCTTGATAGAGGCCAAGTTGGCACTGGCCTTGCCCACCTGGGCACACGCTGGCTCACATCCAGCCAGCTGCAAACCAGCATTCCCATGTCCCTTCCTGCTGAGCAGCCTCCAGCCACTCTGCCCCAGCTGTGTGGGACACGTGTGTCACCACGACCTCCAGGGGCTCACCCAAGGAGCTCACCTTCACTCTTGGTGTCCCTTCCTACCGAGCAGCTCTGCCCCAGCTGTGTGGGGATACAACTGTGTCCTCATGACCTCCAGGGACTCACCCAAGGAGCTCACCTTCACTCTTGGTGTCCCTTCCTGCCAAGCAGCTCTGCCCCAGCTGTGTGGGGACACACGTGTGTCCTCATGAGCTCCAGGGCTCACCCAAGGAGCTCACCTTCACTCTTGGTGTCCCTTCCTCCCAAGCAGCTCTGCCCCAGCTGTGTGGGACACGTGTGTCCCCATGAGCTCTAGGGCTCACCCAAGGAGCTCACCCAAGGAGCTCACCAAGGAGCTCACTCTTGGTGTCCCTTCCTGCTGAGCAGCTCTGCCCCAGCTGTGTGGGGACACACATGTGTCCCCACGAGCTCCAGGGGCTGGTGTGACAAGCTCACCTTCGCTGTTGGCGTACTTGAGCCGGTCCTGCATGGGGCCGTTGCCCGCCCTGCGCGGGGCGCGGAGCCGGGACGCGGAGGACCTTCCGTAATCCACGCTGGAGGAGGGGGACTGGCAGCGGGGGGAGCTCAGCGGGGACGGGGAGTATCTGTGGGCGCTGCGGAAGGACAGGGAACAGTCGTAGTCGTCCTCGTCCTCCAGGCTGTAGGTGTCGAACTCCTGGTCGCTGTAGGTGCCGCGGCGCAGGGAGTGCAGGGACGCGCTGGAGCTGCGCCGGGACACGGAGGCGGAGCTGGAGGCACAGTCCTGCCGGAGGCCTGGGGACACGGGGGCACAGGGGGACACGGTCACCACACGTTCAGGGAGATGTTCCTTACCCGGCTGCAACACGAGGATACGAAGCTCTTATGGAGCGCCCAAAGGTCAAGGCGGGGTTGGGTCAAAGGTTGGACTTGACGAGCTCAGAGGTCTTTTCCAGCCTCGTTGATTCTGTGAAGGTGGGGAAGGGCTTTGAGGGGAAGCCATAGGAGGAGCCTGAGGGCACCTGGTCTGTCAGGAAAAGCCTCATTCCTGGCACAAAACTCACTCCAAGTCAGGCTGGCTGTTGGAATAAAGCAGATCTCGTTCAGCACCATAACATTTTATTAAACTACACTATTTCAAGGTCACATTGATGGCAGGGAGAACGTTGCTATCAGTGCATATTTCCTGGACTAAGACTGTGTTTGGAGCATCCAGCATTTGCTGAGGAAAAGGACACTGGAAGCCTGGAAAAGTGGAGACTGAGGGGAGACCTCACTGCAGTTCCAACTTCCAGGGGAGGGGCAGGGACTGAGCTCTGCTCTGTGGGGACCAGGGACAGCACCCAGGGAATGGCTGGAGCTGTGTCAGGGCAGGGTCAGGGTGGATCTCAGGGAAAGTTTCTTCCCCCAGAGGGTGGTTGGCACTGCCCAGGCTCCCCAGGGCAGTGGGCACAGCCCCAAGGCTGCCAGAGCTCCAGGAGGGTTTGGCTGATCCTCTGGGGCACAGGGTGGGACTCTGGGGATGGGCCTGTGCAGGGCTGAGGGTTGGACTCCATGAGCCTTGTGGGTCCCTTCCAACTTGGAATATTCTGTGCCAGTGATTCATTTCACCTTGGGAGGAGGGTCAAGTTAACAACTGTCCTTATGGAGACACTCAGGGCTCACGGAATCCTTAAACTGGATCAGTGTCACCCACATCAGTCCTGTTTCATTCCAGCCAAGAATTAACATCCAATGGACCTCAACTGCTCCTTATTCCCACACACAAATAACTGAGATTGCCACCAAGCTCCACTAGGGTAACCAGGAATGGGGGCCTAATTCACAGGGTGAGTGTTTTAGTTCAATTAATTACACACCCACCAGCACTTCAACAGGTGGAAACAAAGATCTGAAGGTCTGCTCCAAAGAAAACATCCCTGTTTTGCACTGACATCTGGGTTATTTAGAATTTATGCCTTTATTCAAGACAAAACACAAGCAACTTTAACAAAAAGCAGCTGTTCCTCACTCTTCTCCCTTCACATTGAAAATATGAAAAGCTCCCATCATTCTGAGGATGAAGATATTTTCTATTTCACAGGAAACTTTGGAATGTGACAGGATTTCCTTGGTGCTTTTTTTTAAGTGATTGCAAAGCATAAAAGAATGGTCAAGTTCAGAAAGGAAAAGGTTGTTATTTGCTTTATTCACTTGAATACAACTTTTCCTCAGCTGCAAAAAAGTGATGACAAGATCTTTTGTCCTTTGTCCTTTTTGGTCTCATATCCCAATTCCTAGGTCACGGTAATTTTTTTTTAATTTATAAAGGCACAGTACTAAAAGTCAATGTTCTCCTAAAGAAAGACAGAGAACATCATTCTCTATTTCCTGTAAATCAAATTAATGATTCACTTGCACAGAAACACAGCTCCAAGCCCTTTTTCCACCTTGCTCTTCAATTAGGACCTCAGCCAAATTCCAGAAGTCACAGAAACTTCCCCAGGGATTTAATGATTTTGGGGCCCTGAAATCCCCCCACTCTGGGACACAAACAAGTTCAATTTGCAGAGCTGCCTCTGAGTACTTCACCAGAGCAAAACTCCAATTGTAAATTCAGCTCTTTCAGTTTTAGCACCCCTGAACTCCTGGTTTAACTCATCACAGCAGTGAAAACCCACTTGTATATTAAGCGAAATAAAGAGCTTGTAAAGCTCAGCCCTGCAGAGCTTCTGATTTCAGGCTGCTCAGGAAATCAAATCTTGACATGCAGAACGTTTTGCTGGGTTATTTTTTCACAGCTGGGTCATTTCACAGCTGGGTCAGTGCCCCAGAGCAGTCCCAGCACCTGTGTTTGCCCAAAGGAGGGGACAACTGCCACCGCCACCACCCAGTCCCTCCTGGAACCTCAGCTGGACTTCAGAGCATTTGTAACATCAAAGGGCATCCACATATTACCAGACAGGGGGTTTGGATAATACTTTGGACAACCCTTGAGGAGGATGTTGTACCACTGCCACGTCGGCAGCGTGGGTGTGGAGATTTTTCCAGGAAGCCCCCTGGGAAAAAATCACCACCGTTATTTTTTTGCTGGGGAAAAGGAGAAGAGGAGAAGGCTTGGAATCCATCTGGAGCTGCCCAGCTGTAACACAAAGGAGGTGGGGGCCACCTACTCTCTTCCTGAAGGCGTGCCATGACCTGGACATCCGTGAGGTCCTGCAGTTTGTAGCCCATGGAGATGGAGTCGTCCGAGGTGCTCAGCTCGCTGTCCACCGAGGACTGGGAGCTCAGCGCCGAGTGCATGCTCAGGTAACCTGGGGGGGACACAGAGAACACACAGGTAGTCAGACAACCCCCCCAAACAGCACAGCATCCATCCCAGCAATCGACCAGTGCCCTCGGGAAGTTGGGGGATGGCTGTGAGAAATAAGGTGGGAGTTGGGAATCACACAACCGTTATTAACCTGCGGTTTTCAGGAGCGCGGGGAAAAACTGTGGAATTCTGCCCAGAAGGTGGCAAAGGGATCCCCAGTGGGGATTTTGAGCTTAGAAATATGTTTCAAATATCAGTAATACTGGTGCTTATCTTGAGAAAAGGGCAGCTGTTGATCTAGAAATCAAGTAGCAAAGTGACCCAAAGTGCTGACCGGGGTGTCGGTGAGTGGTCAGAGAAGCAAAACGATCCCAGGGATAAAAGGGTCAGAGGACAGAACCTCAATCATCAGCTCTGCCCTCTGCTTTTGCAAAGTAAAGCTTACCCTAAATCCCACCCTCCCATTTCCTGAGGTTTATTCATTTTTTTTTTTCCTCTCCTCACAAACCAAAGTCTCTCTTACAGGGAAGGACATGGCTTGCTCATAAAAACCAAACCGGGAGGATCTTCCCCCATCAGGGAAGTTCTTCCTTTTGAAAGCTGATGATAATAATAAAAATATCATCACAATCATCCCTAAGTGCAAATTTTTACCTCTTGGTACTTTTAAATCAAGCAAGTCAGTCTTTTCCTTGGCATAAGAGTTCTGCTATTTGTTGTTGAAATGAGGAGAGAACAAGCTCTGAGCTTTGGGGTACTGGTCCCTCAGCTGTGGGAGGGCTGTGAGTACAGACCATATAACTTACAGAGCTATTTTAGAAGAGAGGACATCATTAATTAACTTAATTAACTCCAAGACAAAGTTGCAATTAGTACTTTATAGGTTGAGACCCACAAGAAGCGAAGTTAAAACACAATCTGCCCAAGATCAGCTAAAGCAAGAGCCTGAAGAGTTCTTTACACCTTTTTCAGCTTAAGAAGTAAATCCTGCTCAAGCAGGGACTGAAATAATCATTTAAATAAAATCAGCAAGTAGAGATAAATCAGGAATAAATCAGGCTCCCAGTGTATGGTGTCATTTACCACTGGTTTTTCCTTTGGTTCCCAGTTTTCCTGCCACGTGCTCAGACTCGCAGGCAGTGCCCCCCCTCACTAATGCTCAACGATGGTAAAATAAACCATTTCTCAGCAAAACCTCTGAACCCCACCCCTGAGCAGCCTTTTCCAGCTGGGGGCAATTCCAGGACAAAGCAGCAGGTTCCAAATATTCAGCCAGTTTGGATGAGCAGTAACTGCTGACATGGAAAACACAGGTGTAAGTCCAGGTGGAAAATAAATCTCTTCCATGGGCACGGAACAATTAGCTCAATTAACCTCAAATTCCTCGTTTGAAAGGCATCAAGTTTGTCCAGCTTTTCCATTTTTCCAGTTTTTCCATTTTTAGAGGGTTAAGAATAGTTTGGGGTTAGGGTTTTTCAAGCTTCCCAGCTTTTCAGTGACACTTTTTCCAGCTGTAAAACGGTGACTTTGGGAACTTCAGGGTCCCTCTGGGAGCGTGTGTGGCACAAACACACCCTCAGAGTCCAGACATTCCAACACAGAATCCCATTTCTGTCTTCCTGGGGTCAGGAAAAGCCAGTGGAAGCAGCTGAAATCAAGCCATCCCTTAGGATGTGGCCCAAGGAACCAGCCAAGGTTTCCTGCTGGAGTTACCACCACCAGCCAGATTTTTAATATCAGCTTTATAAAAGGCAAAGTTCCCAATTCAACTCCACGTGTTTAGTTCTGTTGTTGCATTTCAAACCACAGGTCTGGCTAAAAACAGCCAAGGAGGGGCTAAAACCTCACCAGTAAAGCTGAACTGATTATGGTTTTCAGCAGAGGGACCCCATCTGGATTTTGTCAAAGGGTTTTGTTTAGCTTTTAAGGGAAATTACTGTTAAACATTTCCCATTGGAATGTTTTTCTTAGCAATAAAATCAGATTCGAGTGGGTCGGGTGTGGAGGGTGAACTTGAAACTCATTTCACACCTGCCCAGGTCACCTGAGAGATGAACTCTCATTATCTCCTGGCCTGTCCCTGCTCTTCCACCAGCACATTTGCAGGGTGAACAGCCCAGAAGCTGCACAGACACTTTTGTTTTTTGGTTGGTTTTTTTTTTACACACCAATAACCGTTTCTGTGTGAAAAGGTCGCTCAGGTTGCCCATCAACCTCATCTTAAACCCAAGAAATCAGCTCAGAGGTGTTTCCCTGCAGAGTTCAGCCTGCAAAAATCAGCCCTTTTGTTTGGAAAACAGAGATAAGTGTTCCTTTCTGTTTACAGCACATCCCCAAAGCAAACCTGCACCTGTGAAAACACCCCCAGGCAGCCCTTTCTGCCTTTTAAGAAGGTAAAAAAAAGGTTCATTTCACGTCGAGTTCCAAGGCAAGAGACTGTTAAATGTGCTTTCTTGTTTTCCAGCATGCAAAGCAGGATTTAGCAATTTCCACACCCACCAACCAAACAGGGAAGGCTCCTTTGATAACAAAGCCAAGAGGCAAAGCAGCTGTGCCAAGAAACAGCAGCAACTGCACCAAGGATAATCAATGAAGCTCCTGGAAGAGGGTCTGTGGCCCCCAGTCTGGAGGAGCTTCATTCTCACACCTCCAAACCCACCTGCCAAGAGGAATCGTGGCCGAGCTGCCTCTAAGGCAGGAAATCTTCCTCCAAACACACTGAAGGCTGAAGGAAAGCTTTTCTTTGTTTGTTTTTAGCTGGAAGTTTTACCCTAGAGACTTTTACAACTGCCTGTGACCTGCATTAAAACAGCATTTCCAAAAGAAACTGCCCCCAAAGTCTCCCACCAGAAAACCGAACCTGAGTAACTTTGTATGAAGGTAACACCTACAGACCAAGAACATTGTTCAAAAGCAACGTTTCCTTTGCCCCAACTGCTTCGAGACCCTTAAAAATTAGTCCAATTTAAAAATACAGAGAGAGAAAGTTCTAAAATCCCAGAGAAGAACCAACTCCAAGAGGTTTAAAATGCAAGGAGCTTTTCTCCCACGGAAGGGACACGACCCGGGGCAGTGAGAAAACGAAAAGGAGCAAACCCCCACGGGTGGAGGAGCAAACCCCCACGGGTGGAGG